AGTTTTTCAAGCAAATGTACCTTTGGCATTTGAACAATGTGGCCAGCCCATCAAAGTTGCACTCTCTACAGTAAAGTTTGAATGCTTGGCAGTTTAGCTCTAGAAAGGATTCTGATCCTTCACTCTGGTCTTCTACCAGAGAGCCAGTGTAGCTTCAGAAAGGGCTGAGGAATGGTCAATATGGTGTTTGCTGCCTAACAACTTCAGGAGAAATGCCAGGAGCAGACCAGAAGTCTGTACACAACATTCATTGATCTGACCGAGGCCTTTGATATTGTCAGTTGTGAGGGCTTATGGAAAATTATGTCAAAGTTTGGTTGCCTGGAGAAGTTCATCAGTATTGTACATCAATTTCGTGATGGCATGCTTGCCCAGGTTCTGGATGATGGATGATGCTCTTGTGCTTTCCCAGTCACCAGTGGAGTAAAGCAAGGCTGTGTGCTTGCTTCCATGCTTTTTAGCATGATGTTTTCAGTAATGTTGTCAGATGCCTTCATTGAGGACAGACACATGACATCAAGGTCAGCTACCACACTGATGGTAAATTATTTAACTTGAAAAGTGCATAGTTCTTTTAATTAAAAAAAAAAAGTGCATAGTGGAGTTCAGCTTTCTTCCAGTGAACTTCCCAGCAACTTTTCCATCATTTTCTTCAGCCAATCCACAAAGCAATGACTTTTTTCCAAGAACAGAGAGAAGCCTTCCCTCTGTCTTCTTCACAGTTTTTTTTTTCCCCACCACTCTTAATGTCTCACATCAGAGACTAGTGGTCAGTGACTCTTCTTTCTGCTATGAGATAAAACTTATTAATTTTGCTTCTCTGACTGTTATAAAGCCAGTAGTCCTTATTTAATCTTGTCATACTTCAAATTGTTACTGGACTTGCCACTTTTCCAGTTATCATCTCTCATACTCTAAAAGCAGTAACATATAAATGAGCTGAAGAAGTACAATGCTTTGTAGCCATCATTATCTCAGCCATTTCTCTGTACACAAACAGGTACATTCATCTGAGGGGCAGTCCTCTATTTTGGTCTCTTAATTGTCTTTTCACATTTTATCTGAGAAACTATGTTTCCTCAGAAGTGAAGTTTATCCATTTTTTTTGTATACAGCAGTTCTTTTTCAGCCTCCCTTTTTTACCATTATTTTTTTTTTTTTTTTTGGTGAGGCAATTGGGGTTAAGTGACTTGCCCAGAGTCACACAGCTAGGAAGTATTATGTGTCTGAGACCAGATTTGAACTCAGGTCCTCCTGACTCCAGGGCCAGTGCTGTATCCACTGTGCCACTTAGCTGCCCTTCAGCCCCCCTTTTTAAAAAAAATTATTTTTAACATTTAATTTTAGAAAATTTTGAGTTCCTAATTGTCTCCCTCTCTCCAAGTCCCTCCCCAACCCATTGAGAAGGCAAGCAATATGATATCGATTATACATATAAAATCATGCAAAATATATTTCTGTATTAGCCATGTTGCAAAAAAAAAAGGCAGGAAAAATAAAGAAAGTGAAAAAAATTATACTTCAATCTGTTCTTAGAGTTTTCATTCCAGCTTTCATTCTGGAGGTAGATAGCATTTTTCATCATGAGTCCTTTGCAGTTATCTTGGATCATTGTATTGATCAGAGTAGCCAACTCTTTCACAGTTGATCATCGTTACAGTATTGCTGTTACTATGTATGATGTTCTCCTAGTTTTGCTCACTTCCCTTTGTATCATATCGTAGAAGTTTCCCCAGGCTTTTCTGAAACTATCCTGCTTGTCATTTCTTGTAACACAATAGTTGTTGTTCAGTTGTTTCAATCATGTCAGACTCTTCATGACCTCATTTGTGTTTTGTTGGCAAAGATACTAGTGATTTGTCATTTCCTTTTCCAGCTCATTTTACAGATGAGGAAACTGAGGCAAAGATCACACAACTAGTAAGTGAGGCTGGATTTGAACTCGGAAAGATGAGCCTTCCAGACTCCAGGACCAGCACTCTATCCACTATGCCACCCAGCTGCACAATAGTATTCCGTCACAATCATATACCACAACTTGTTCAGCCATTCCCCAATTGATAGGCATCCCCTTAATTTCCAATTCTTTGCCACAACAAAAAGAGCTACTCTAAATATTTTTGTACAGATAGGTCCTTTTCCTTTTTCTTTGATCTCTTTGGAATACAGACTTAGTAGTGGTATTGCTGGGTCAAAGGCCATGCACAGTTTTATAGCCCTATTTCTAAATTGTTTGGGCATAGTTCCAAATCCTTCTCTGTTCTGTCCCTTTCAGCATTCAAACTGTTTACGTGCTAAATGGACAGTACCTTACATTAGTATATAGAATTAATATAATATCTTAATTAATACTTTGCATTAGTATATAGAATATAAAAAAGAGGATGGGGAACTAGAGCCATGATTTCATTAGTATAGGAAATTCCCTTTACCAATGCAGGTAAGCATCTTCTCTGCAACTTAGTCTTAGAGAATAAACCCAAATAAATACAAAGTAATTAAAATACAAGAGAGTTTATGAGGGAGGGAAGTGACAATTGGGAGCATCAATACATTTTTCATAAAGAAGGTAATATGTAAATTGTACCTTTAAGGAAGAGGAATTTTTTGAGTTGGAGGTGAGGAGAGCGTGCATTCTAAGTATGGAGATGGCTTATGAAGTGTCTTGTTTGTGAAACAGAGAGAAAACCAGTTTGTCTTGATCACAGAGTTTGGGATGGAGGGTAATATACAATGAGACTTGAAAGGTAGGCTGGGGCCAGGTTACAAAGGACTTTAATTGGCTAATGTAGAAGATCAGATTTGAGCAGAATAGGACAGTTGAACACCAGGTAGTGGGGAAGTAATGCACAATTAGTAATATTTTGCCTTCACTAAAGCCAGGGGTACTTATGACTCAATAAGAATGGTTTTGAACTTCCCAAAGAAAGATTTGGATTCTACTTGTCTTGTCTTTCACAGCAAGAACACAGGCTATTACTCTTTTGACCCCTGGAAGGAATGTAGAAGGTCCTGTTAGTAAATAATAGTCCTTCACAGTAGTAGTTCTTTAGCCGTAAATAAATGAGATGGATATCTGTGAAGGAATATGGCTGGGAAGGGAGTGGAGTCAGAGTAGACTGCCCGGGAGGGTGTTTTATTTTGTCAGCAACTCTTGTGGTTGGTGGAATTTGGGAAGAACAACATTCTGCTTGTGATTCTTAATGCCTATGGGTTGGATAGAATCTAGATTCTGACAACCTACTGGGAGTAGTAAGTGGTCTTCCATAGGTGGTCTGGCCTGGGTTGAGCAACCCCTGTGGCCTTGTGATCCTTGAAACAGCCCCATGGACATTTGGCCAACCACATCTGTCTCCCTTAATTTTTCCATCTCTTAAGTGAGAGGAAGTAGACAGGAGCTCCAGGAGATTGAAGTGTTCTTGGTGAAAGGTCATAGCTTTGCGGTAGTAGGAGCTAAGGAAAGCACATAAAGTTCTGGCCGTCCCTCTCACTGCCCAGTACCTGATCTATTATTAGAAGTGAAAGGTCAGAGAGGGGAAGTGGGCTACCTCTCCGAGGGCCCAAATCCATTCCCAAAATGAAACTAGGAAGATGCTATTCTCATAGGCAACTATGCTGCCTTTGGACTATAGTTTCTTAAACTGGGAGTCCCTGAACTTTAAAAAAAAAATTTGATAATGGTATTTCCATGTAATTGGGAGTTTTGGGGTAAATTTAGGTATTTTTTTCTCAATCACTTTAAAAACATTCTGAGAAGAGATCTGTAGACTTCACCCGACTGCCAAAGGGATCCATGACACAGAAAAGATTACAGACTCCCTGCTACAGACTGTATCTGGAAAGGTTGACCTACAGACCAAGAATCTGTCTTGGTCTTGAATGCCTGAACTGGTGATTCTTTCCTGAGCACCACTCCCATGTCTAGAACTACCTCTTGGACAATGTTTTTGTTCTTGGGACAACACATTGGATGACTGGGGACTAGGGATACCCGGACTTGGAGTATCAGATCTGGAAGGGACCTTCAGGATTCCCTCTGTTTTTACAAATGAAGAACCAGAAACTCAGAGGGAAAGTGCTTTGCAATTAGTAAGCACTTAGTAAATATTTGTTGAACTGACTCCATGACTTGGTTACTCATTAGCAGAACTTCAACCAGAGCCCAGATTTCCTGAGTTTCAGCCTTAGTATTCCTTTCACTAGACCCTGGAAGCTGGACCTGGAGAAATTGTTAAAAACTTAACTGTTAACCACCAGTTGAAATGTTGAGTGCCTCTCATATGCATTGACAGGAAAACAGTGATAGATAGCCCCTATTGCCCAGAAATAAATACAAAAGCAACATAGTATGGTGAAGATCCCTGGATATGATTTTAAGTCATAGCTTTGCCACTTACTAGCTTCATGACCTTGGATTAATCATCTAACTTCTCTAAACCTGTCTCCTCATCTATAAAACAGGAATAATAATAAGGTGTAGCGTGAGGAAGTGGAAAGAGCTCGGAACTTGGAGACAGGAAGTGAATTTGATGACTTTGGGATGCTAGGGCAGACAGTTTACTTTTATGAACCTAGGGTCCCTCATCTGTAAAATGGGTATAATACTTAGACTGCCTACCTCACAGGGTTATTGTAAGGAAAGTACTTTGTAAATTTTGAAACACGATATAAATATCAGCTATTATAATGTCTCTGTCAATAATGTGAAGTGTTGATGTGCCTACTTCTTGGATGGGTGAACCAGGAAGAGGAGGAATATAGGGTCTCTACCCTCTCTGTGCTGTCTGGTTAAGGAGACAAGACACACCCACATGTGAAAAGTAAACTAGCCCCCCTTCAAGATTTACATAAATGTGTCAGGCAGTTGAAACATTAAGTTGTCAAGGATGGCTCTTCTGTGCTAGTCTGACTCTGTTTTATTCCTACTTCCGTTTATGTAAATGTAATTCAATTCAAATATTTATTAAGCCCTGCCCCTATGAGACACTGTGCTAAGCAGGGGGACTGGACACACACACACACACACACACACACACACACACACACACACACACACTCTAAATGCTTACACTTTGTTGTGGAGAAACAACACATGCACAGAAGATTAAATATAAAATATATACACAGTAATTTCTGGGGGAATAGAGCTATAGGACAGTAGATTATAACACTTCTCATAAGCGCTTGTAATGTTTGTTTGATTCATAGTCCCTAAGGAAGAGATGGAAAGGGGGACCAGCAGGGCACACAACCAGTTACTGTTCCTGCCTGGTAGTGAAAGCAGGTAGAGTGTTTGAGGTACTCAGAAGGTAATCTCCTTGAGGGCAAGGACTGTATTGTCTTTGTCTCCTCAGTGCCTAGCCCAGTGCCTTCCTTGCCTGCTTGTTGGCTTGGATTGAATGCTGTTCTTAGGTCACTTTTTCAGATGTCCTACGTTTTCCAAACCATCCTGGTTCTTCCAAGTCAAGCTTAAGGCCCTTTTGCTTAGTGAAGCCTTTCCTGACTGATGGAGCTCACATTGATGTCTCCCTTTTCTGAACTTAGTATACAATGCATGTACTCTAGACCATCTAGACCTTTCAGAGCCTTCTAGATCGTTCAGAGTACATTCAATCAATCAATCAATAAACATTTTCTTACACCTGTTGTGTGACTGGCATTGAGCTGGGGAAAAAGACAAAAGTGACGTAGTTCTTACCCTCAAGGAGCTTGTATTCTTTCGGGGGAAATATACATGTAATCTAGGTAATTTATCTGTGAGAGTGGGGAGGAACTAACATCTGGAGATCATTTGAGCTAAACAAAAAGGCCTGTTTGACTGGATCAGAGAAAATGTGAAGAGAGGTATTGTGTCATAAGCCTGTAAAGGTAGATCCGAGCCAGGTGTTAAAACACTGGGTGTCAAATAGGAGTTTTTGTTTGATCCTGGAGGTAATAAGGAACCACTGGAGTTTATTGAGCAGGGGACTGACATAGTCAGAGCTGTCCTTTTAGGATTCATATTTGGTACCTGTATGAAGAATGCATAGGAAGGAGAGATACTTGAGACTAATTAAGAGCCTCTCGGAATAGTCTAAGATGGTGCTAGAGTGGGGAAGAGGTTGAACTGGAGTGGCAACTGTGTAAGTAAAAAAAAAAAAAAAGAATCAGGCGTAAGAGATGTTGTGGAAGTAGAATCAACAAGACTTGAGGATTGAAGGAGAGGGAAGATGTAAGTCCCTGTCTGCCTCCCCCAAGAACTTCCCTGGAGTCTTTCCCTACTGCCCTGGGGCAGGCATCCCGTTGAGAAATCCTTGAGCTAGTGAGAGGAGTGTCTTTGGCTGGTGCCTCATATCTGTCTCAAGACTACAGATCTGTTAAAATGCTTGTGGGGACTGTACAAACCTGAATCTGTACACCTGGGTGACCAGAAAGATGGTGGTACCCTTTACAGAAAGAGGGAAGTTAGGAAAAGGGGTAAGCTTAGGGGAAAAGATACTGAGTTCTGTTCCAGGAAGGTTGAGTTTGAGATGTCATGAGGACATGCAGTTTAAATGCCTGAGAGCCAGTTGCTGATGCAGGGCTGGAACTCAGGAGAGAAACCAGGGCTGGACATACAGATCTGGGAGTCAACTGAACAGAGGTAATGATTATATCCATGGGAGCTAACGAGGTCACCAAGAGAGGGGGGATAGAGAGAAGAGGGCCCAGGGCAGAACCTCGGGGAATACCCCCAGTTAAGGGGTGGCATATGGATGGTGATCTAGCAAAGGAAACTAAGAGAATAGCCAAGAGAGGGTAGTCCATTGCTGTCCAGTTGTACCCTGTCTGTGAGCTAGATGTAATTCCTTTAGGGCCAAGATTGAGTCTTCTGTTTCCTTTTCAGAATGGTCAGGAACAGGGCTAAGACTGGCAGTGGGGGACCAGGAAGAACCTGTTGGATTGCCAGCATGGTATGGGGTGCTAGTGCAAGTGGCAGGTCATACCAGCGTGAAGTGATTGATATTTGGGTTATCACCTCTGAGAAACATCTTCAGTGCCCTCTTCATTCCCCCATTTCCCAGTTCTCTGGTTCTGTGGGAGACGAACATGGAAGTTGATTTGTCCAGCTTCAATATTGATACTCCCCAATGGGACCAGGGTACCTTCATGGGTCGACTGAAGCATTTCTTCAACATCACGGACCCTCGTACAGCTATCGTTTCAGAGCGGACATTGGACTGGGCCAAAATTATGGTTGAAAGTAGCCGGTGAGTATCCATCGCTCCCTAGCAGCTCCAGACTTGTGGCAAGAGTTGGGCCTAGTTGGCATTCTGAATAGTTAGAGATGCCTAGGGTGGGTGTGTGGGTGTGTGTACTTTGGGAAGGTAAAAGAAAACAGACCGGTTGGGGACTTTTTCTGGGAGGCTGACTTTTTTCTTCCCCGGGCTTGGGGGCCGAGGGTTGCAGGCATGGTGCCGTACCCCCAGGCACCAGCCAGGAGCAGCTGCTGTATGCCAAGAAGCTATACGACTCAGCCTTCCACCCCGACACTGGGGAAAAGATGAATGTGATTGGGCGGATGTCGTTCCAGGTGCCAGGAGGCATGGCCATCACAGGCTGTATGCTGCAGTTCTATAGGTGGGAGTGGCTGGGGGTGGGGAGGTAGGGAGGGTTTGGCAGGGACTCCAGGCCATTTTCCCCATTCTAGATAGAGTGGGGAATGGCTGTATCCTCTATTTTACTCTCTAGCAGCTTTAGAGCTGTTGGCCCCCACCTGGGATGGGGTACTATGTTCTTATCTCAGATGCTTGACTCCTCTCCACCCCTTTTTTTCCTTTGACAGAACTCTGCCTGCAGTGGTTTTCTGGCAGTGGGTGAACCAGTCCTTCAATGCATTGGTCAACTACACCAACCGGAATGCAGCCAGCCCTATATCAGTCAGGTAGTGACTGACTCACTCCCAGCGCCTTGGGGCTCACTGCTGCTGAGGTTTCTTCACAGCTCCCTCACTGATTCCAGGCATAGAAGATCCCCCAAGTCTGTCCCAGCAGGGATAGTTGGAACATATCTAGCCTAATGCTCTTTATTCTTCCTCCACCACTGCGGACAGTGTTGAGGGCTAGCATCTTTCTCCTGTATCAAGGCTAACTTTCTCTACAGCCTGGTTTCTGTGTCTTTGGAGACTCAAGGCTCAGGGGCCAACTTTCATCACATCTTGCTCCTAGCATCTCTTTCCTCCTCTAGGCAGATAGCTGTATCCTACTTCTCAGCAACCACCACAGCCCTAGCCACTGCCCTGGGGCTTAACATGTACACCAAGGTATGCCGTGGGTCCATGGGCTACCACCAGGGGGCAGCAAAGTCCTGGGGAAATGTCGGGTGGGTATAATGGTGGGGTTACTACAAATGAGATGCAGCTGGGGCTGGAGGATAGGTGTTGGGGTAGAGGGCCAGGGGTCCCTTTACCTAACCCCATGGGGGAGAAAAGGAATGTCTGAGGCTTGGTTTTTCTTCTTTGTTTTTATATGACCCTTGGGGTTTGTAGATCCTTGCACCTTCCTCCCTTCTTGCTTAGGCTGACATCTCCCACTGTCCCCACAGAAAGCTCCACCATTGCTAGCCCGATGGGTACCCTTTGCTGCTGTTGCTGCTGCTAACTGTGTGAACATCCCTATGATGAGGCAACAGTGAGTAGCATTCCCCTTCATGCTTCCTTTCTTGGTCCTTCCTCAAATGATCATGCATAAAGTTTTCTATTTATATGTTGTATTCTCCCAATAGTAAACAAGCTCCTTGAGAAGAAGGATTGGTTTTTGTTTTATTTTTGTATCCCCAATGCCAATACTTAGTGACCATCCATCTGTGTCTAGGGAGCTCATCCATGGCATCAGCGTGACTGACAGGAACTCTCAGGAGCTGGGTCGATCACGGGTAAGCTGGAGGCATCTGTGTGTTTGGGGATGAAGGGGGGATGGAGGAAGCCAGAATTCCTTCCACATTCTAGGCATGTGCTGATCACTGAATGTGTAATTTATACCCTTTTTTCTTCTGCTTTTTTCTTTGCTTATGACTTAGCCTCTTTAAGTCATTCTGCTTTCATGCTTGGCCATCCATAGGGCCTTTTATGCGGGTTATGGCTGGCCTTTGGGTAGAGTTAGATTTAGCTGTGGGCAGCTAGGTGGTACAGTAGATAAAATGTCAGGCCTGGACTCAAGAAGACTGATTTTCCTGAGTTCAAATCTGGCCTCAGATACTTAATAGCTGTGTGGCCCTGGGTAAGTCACTTCACCCTGTTTGCTTCAGTTTCCTCATCTGTAAAATGAGCTGGAGAAGAAGATGGCAAACCACTTCTGTATCTTTGCCAAGAAAACCCCACATGCAGTCACCAACAGTTGGACGTGACTGACAGAACACCAATGAAGATGTAGCTGTGGTCTTCTAGTAAAGCTATGCCCTGCACATTTCAGATTGGCTCTCTCAGGGCTGTTGTGCTGGTGCTTGATCCCTTCACATGTGTGGAGTGGGCTGGGATCTAGGGTCTCTGATGGTTCTTCGCTCTCTTCTCCCTGCTCTCAGAAAGCTGCAGTCATTGGCATCTCCCAGGTGGTCATTTCCCGAATCACCATGGCAGCTCCTGGGATGAGTAAGAATTTGACGGCTACCCCTTCCCTGGGAAAAACCTCCCTAGAGGGCGGGAGGACTGAGAATAGGGGTGGGGGTGGGACCCGAGTTTTACATTGTCATATTGGTTTTGTTTGGTCCAGGGGAAATAGGCAGCTTTTTTGAAGGGGACACTGAGGCCAGTGAGGTTGTTGAAGGTTCTTAAGAACTCCTTCCAACCCTTCTCATATAGGCCTTTGCCCTGGTACTCTCTTCTTCCCCACATGACCTGGGATTGGGGCTGGGGTGAAGAATGTGACAGTCAAACTAGCTTCTAGTTTTCCCCATATATTGTTGAGACTTTGTCTTTCAGCCACCAAGAAAGGAGGCAAAGGAATAGTTAGTTCATTAGTTTGATTTCAGAAGGGAATTTGGGGAAGGTTTAGGGATGCCCTTCTTGACTTTCCCTCTCCTAATTTTGTTCCCTCCCTAGTCTTGCTTCCAATCCTCATGGAGAGGCTGGAGAAGTTGGCATTCATGAAGGTGAGTGATTCACAGCACCATGGATTCAAAGCTAGAAGGAACTGGAGAGGCCATGAAGTCCAACTACTTTCTTTTACAGATAAAGAAACAGAGGCTGAAAGAGGTTAGGGTCACATAGCTAATAAGTGTCTGAGGCAAGATTTGAACACAGGCCTTCCTAAATCCATTCTCCACCCTGCCACCACATTGTTGTTTCTCTCTCCTCCTCTCCCTACGCATGACCCCAAACAGGCCTGCACCTGGGATTCTTAATGCTTGTAATTCTTCCCTAGTTACTACCACTTAATCCCCCTCCTCTCCTCTCCTCAGCAATATATCCTAGGGCAGGGCTCACAATAGAAAGATCTCTGTAACTCTTCTCCTGGTATGGTTTCCAGCCTTCTTGTAAGCATGAAGGGGCCAAAGGGTCTCTCTTTACCCCCACCTCCCCACTACCCCCTCTCTGCCCCTCCATTTCTGCAAGGAAAATGGTACCTGAGTCTCCTTGCTGATAGCTGGACAGGAAGTCACAGAAGCTCCATCCATCTATATGTCTGTTTTTCTTTCAGAAAATTCAGTTTCTGCATGCCCCACTGCAGGTGATGCTGGCGGGGGGCTTGTGAGTATTGCTTTCTCTGGCTTGTGTTCTCAGGTACCCTGGGAGGGACACTCAGTCCACATTACAGACAAGTATCTGTGTTGCCAAGTTGTGTAACATGCCCTAATTTAATCTTTTTGGAAAGCAAATGGTGTCAGAGGTGGCCTCGAGGGTAAAGAGAGCAATATTTTCCCGTCTGGAGGGGTGTCTCTGGACTGTCTGTAGAAATAAGTGGCAACTATTAACTCTCACAGTGCCCTTAAGCTCCATAGGCTTCCACAAAACTTTGCTCTGAGCAGAGCGGGTTGGCAGTGACCTGGCACTGGTTCAGCTAGAGCCATGTTGAGCTAGCCAAGCCTTGTATAGCAAATTAAATTCATGGGTCCTTTTTTTTTTTTTTTTTTTTTGGCAACTGGGGTTAAGTGACTTGCCCAGAGTCACACAGCTAGTAAGTGTCAAGTATTTGGTCTGAGGCCAGATTTGAACTCAGGTCCTCCTGACTTCAGGGCCAGTGCTCTATCCACTGTGCCACCTAGCTGCCCCGGGTCCTTTCTTTCATGTGAGCTCTATTTCCTTGCTTGTCCTCTCTTCTTTTGCCATGTACTCATGCCCTTTAGGAACTTGAAAGTGACAAATTTCATTTGGGTATCAGAGTGGATACTTGGGTACTTGAGTGGAAGAAAGGGAAGGAAAGACACTTTGGTATTGATTATGAAGGTCATTGGACTCTTGTGAGCCGGAGTTGGGAATGACTTTGTATATCTTCTCCTCTTACAGTCTGGTCTTCATGGTACCTGTGGCCTGTGCCATCTTTCCACAGAGATGGTAACTCTTCATTTTTCCTTTGTTTTAATGACTAGACACTTCTCTATTCTTGCCTGATGCCTTGGGGGTAGAGAGGGAATCATAGGAACATAGATTTAGAGTTGGAAAGGGCACTAGAGGTAGTCCAGTCACATAAAATAAGAAGACTGAGGCTTAGAAAAGGAAAATGACTTGCCCAGGGTCATGCACATAACATAATAGAGCTGAGATTTGAATCTGGGTTCCCTGGTTCCACATCCCATACTCTTTCCAATGCTTCATGCATGACCAGAGGTCACTTCAGACAGGGTCATCAGCTTATAATCCTGTCTCCTTTATATTGTGTTACTGATAAACCAGATAGCTCTTGACTTTGGGAAGGATAATTATCTCCATAGTACATGGGCTGTGTAGGTAGTGTTCATGCCCATGGGACCAGGTAATAACAGGAAGCCCCTTGTCACTATACAGTCAACAGTTGCTTTGGCTTGAACTAAGTAAGGTGGATGATACCATATTTGCAACTGAACAATTACTGGCCAGGATGATTCTTCAGAAATGTTCTTTGTCCACAGTTAGCACAGTCCCCTTTCCCTGTCCCCTCCCCGACCTCCAGCAGTGCTTTGTTTCATATCTGGATTATTAAAGGCATCACCCTTCTTTTCTCAGTGAGATGGTGGTTTCACATCTGGAACCTGAACTCCAAGACTCCCTCAAAGCCAAGCATGGAGACCTCATATCTTTTGTCTACTTCAACAAAGGACTCTGAAGTACCTCCTTTTCATCTCCTGGCTACCCTGGGCTCTCAGAACTTCCTTCCTCCTCTCCCACTTCCCAAAGAAGCATAAAAGTCAGGCTGAATTTGGGGGTTGACTAGATTCCATCTATGCTCAAGCCCTGCTCTTCCCACTGCAGGTTGCTAAGGTCAGCCTGTAAGGGAGAGAGCATGGAATAGTGAGGGGACAGAAGCCAAAATCTGAGTGACCAACTGTGAGGGCTCTGTTCCCCCAGACCCCACTCCAATCTTTGTGCCATACGGCCTCCCTGTCACTCTGGCACATTATTAGCCTCTACACCTACAGTCTCTGGTCCCATATGGAGAAAGGATCTTCCAAGGTGTGGGTAAAGGCAATTAAGGGAATTCCCCAAGGTTGTTTTCAAGAGAATGGGGGCTAGTACTTTGGAATTCCAGGTTATACTCTGGATCAGAGACATTTACTTGACTAAGAGGGGCAGGGGAGAAATCTCCAAGGAAACCCTTCCTAGTTCTAAGGACAGATACGTTAAAAAACTCAGGGATGTCTTTTTCCCACCTCTGACGCTTAGTAGCTATGTGACCCTGGGAGAGTCATTTAACTTCTCTTGGTGTCAGTTTCCTATTGTAAAAATGAGGTTAATAATACCCAAAGTATCTACCTCGCAGAGTTGTGAGGATCAAACCAGAAAGTTTATTGTTTGAAAGCCTTAAAGCATTCCATCAATGTCAGATTAGTGTTACTTTTTCCATTCCTACCTCGATGGCCACTTTGTCATAAATCTTCAGGGGCTGGTCTGACTGAATCCCGTGGAGATCTCTGACTGCCAAATCCTTGCTTGCTGAAATCCCCCTGGAAATGCATGGGCTGAGGCTGGACTTCCCATGGCTGAGGGTTTATAGGTAGTGCCCGTGGCCATTGACTGGTCACTAGGTAGTCTGGTTGTTTAGACTGTAGCTGTGAGCAATCTCTTGGGTGTTTTATTGCTGTCTGAGGTGGAAACTCACCTGATTATTATTTTTTTTAGTCAAATTTATCACCTATGAATGAAAGCTCCCCAAAAGAGCCAGTGTAGTTGGGTAGGTCTCAACTGAAACTTCTGGGCAGGAGTATATTGACATGCCATTTCCCAGTCCTGTCCCTCCCTGACCTCTGCCAGAGTAGGAAAGGGAAGAATGATTCTGATACAAACAAAAAAGATCCTTCACTCAAGTGCCAGTCCTCTCTCAGCCTTCCCTACCCTAGTGTCCCCACAAAGGCTGAGCTGCCTGGCGGGATTTGGGGGTCATTTCTTAGTCCTCTGGGACCAACACAGACAAGAATTTTGTCTCATTTTCTGTTTCTTGAGAGGATCTTACTGTGAATTGAATAAATCTTTTTTAAAATCTCTTCAATAAAAGGCTTAAACATCTCTTTTTATGGTTTGTTTGTTTTTTGCTAGCCAATGGGGTTAAGTAACTTGCCCTGGATCACACAGCTAGTAAGTGTCAAGTGTCTGAGCCTGGATTTGAACTCAGGTTCTCTTGACTCCAAGGCCCAGTGCTCTATCCACTGCACCTCCTAGCTGCCCCTAAACATCTCTTTTAAGTGTGATTCAGTCATTTCTTAGCTTGCTTGGGCCTCTGTTGGTTTATGGATTCTCTCAGGGTGGTGTGGAAATGTGCCGGAAGTCTAGAGCCTTTGCATCTGGCATCGTTAGAAAGAGTAAAGGGAAAAAAGCCTTGAGTGGGTTCTTGGAGCCTCCCACTTTTCCCCTTCCCCACCCCCAACATCCCAGAAAATGAAGCATTGACCAAGCTGGGGTTTTGGTTTTTAGCAGGTATGGGAATAGAAAGATAGGCCATCATAGTGGGCTCTTGCCAGCACCTTGCTTAATTCTGATCCCAGGAGATGATCCTTTATTTCCAGAAATCTTTCCTAAACCTTAGCCCTTCCCCAGTTCTCTCTATTAGCAGCAGGTATGTCTACTCTAGCCACTGCTCATTATCCTGAGATTACTCTTACTCCTATACTCAAAGCTTGCAAATATATATATATATATAATGTAAAATATATAAACATAATATACAATACATATATAAAATATCTATTTGGGACTTCATAAAATTCATACAGCACTTGAAATGCATCATTTGTTTTGATCCTTAAAATAGGTAGGTAGTTGTTACCTTGACTTTATAGATAAGGAAACTTGCTTAAAGCAGTAAAGTGACCTACTTAAAAAAAAAACCTGCAAAGTGGCAAAACTGAGGTTTGAACCCAAGTTTTCTAAATATTATATAAAGTATTATGTAGTGCAATGGGAAGTTTTCCCCAAAAAAGTTCTGGCTAAACCTGTTAAACTGTTTTTATGCTTGTCCTGTCATGTCCTATGCTAGATCATCTGGATAAGACTCCCTTCCAACAGACCTCTGGGGGGTGGGAGCAGGGAGAGGGTGGGATCCCTGCCAAATCCAATTAATGCAAAATGTTTGCCAAACCAAACTGCCTGACTAAATTGGCTATTTATTTTCTGGCTTCCTAATGATGTTTATAGCTAGTCCTTTGTTCGGAGGACTAATTAACCCCACCAGGACTGAATAGGGTCTCCCTGTTGTGAAATGAGCCAGGCCCCAGCTTGCTGGGCCCTGCTCCCAGAGAGCATGATTTGTGGGGCTGGTAAATGTATTTCTAAGAAACTGGAAGTTGGAGAAGCAGCACCTTTAGTACTTTTTCAGCCTGGGAAAGCAGGATATTTTAGAGCTAAATTCTGCCTGAAAATTTCTGAGCCTAGGGTTAGAACTTCATTGCTACAGAGGAGAGAGCTGTTTATTCTGCCTTGGCATAACTGCTCATGAGAAAAATGGAATTGGGCTTATTGTGTATGGACCTAGAAGGCAGAGGTAGGACTAAAGCAGAAGTTATATGAAATAGATTCTGACTTAGCTTAAGAAAGAGCTTCCGAATAATTAGACCAGCCCTACGGTGAGGTAGTAGTCAATTCTCGGCAATTCAGGTCCTCAGTTAGAAACTAGAACTATTACATATTATAGAAGGACATCGAATTTCAGAAGTAGGTTGGATTAGATGACTTCAGATTCCATGAGAAGGAAACCTGACCCCTTTTCACATCTAGGAACAGCATCTTTTCTGAGACCCTCCTGTGCATGTTTGAGGTTAGTGGAAAGATTGGATCCTTCAATTCTAGTACTGGCCCTACCATCTTAAATGACTATGAGACCTTAGGCAAGTCACTTCCCTTTTTCAGGGCTTCATTTGTTTTTGGCTGTAAAACGAAGGGAAATTTAAAGTTACTTAAAATTTATTTTTAGCATTTAATAGTATTTAATTTTTTGCAATTACTTGTAAAGATAGTTTTCAATATTCTTTTTTGTAAGATTTTGAGTTCCAAATTTTTCTCCCTCTCTCCCTTCCCTCCCCTCTCCCCAAGACAGCAAGCAATCTGATATTGGTTATACATGTACAATCATGTTAAACATATTTTCACATATAAGTCATGTTGTGAAAGAAGAATCAGAACAAAAGGGAAAAACACGAGAAAGAAAAAAACAAAACAAAACAAAAGTGAAAATAGTATGCTTCAATCTGCATTCAGACTCCATAGTTCTTTCTTTGGATGTGCATAGCATTCCATCATGAGTCTTTTAAAATTGTATTAGATCATTGTGTTGCTGAGAAGAGCTAAGTCTATCATAGATGATCATTGCACAATGTTGCTGTTTCTGTGTACAATGTTCTCCTGGTTCTGCACACTTCACTCAGCATCAATTCATACAAGTCTTTCCAGGTTTTCTGCATGTGGATAGCATTTTCCATTGTGTGTCTTTTGGAGTTGTCTTACATCATTGTATTGCTGAGAAGAGCTAAGTCAAGGTCAGTTGAACAGTATGGTTGATACTGTGTACAATATTTTCCTGGTTCTGTTGAGATTTAGGAGTTTAGGGGTGCTGGGACCCCAGAATCACAACAAGCCGATTCTGCCTGAAAGAATTAGATCCAAGCCTTCTTTTAGCCAAAGACAAGGTTTATTAGAACATCTGTCATATTGGGCAGACTCATAAGGAGTCTGAATGTTAGTGAGCTATTGGCTAGATTATAAGAATCTCAGCACCTTAATGGAGACAAGATGGACCTTATATACAGAAAGACAGAAAGGGATCTAGGAGTGGCCAAGCAGTCTGCAGGGACTGTGAGGTAATAGAATGCCAGGGACCTGGACCGTAGCCAAGGGAGAATGGAGTTTAGATAGGATTAAGGGTGGGAAGTGGCCATAGGGAGGTAAAACAATAGAGAATAGGCTAAATTAAGGGTGACAGAGAATTGGGAGATTGGGTGTAGCCACAATGAAAGGCCAGTTGATGGGATTAGAGCCTCAGGCAAACGCCAGAGATTTGGCCACGTGGGAAAGTCCAGCGTTTTTTCTTTCTGGGGTCCAGATCAGTTCTGCTCATTTCACTCAGCATCACATAAGTCATTCCAGGTTTTTCTGAAATCTGCCTGCTCATCATTTCTTACAGCACAATAGTATTGCATTACATTCATATACCACAACTTGTTCAGCCATTCCCCAATTGATGGGCAGCCTCTCAATTTCCAATTCCTTGCCACCACAGAAAGAGCTGCTATAAATATTTTTGTACATGTGGGCCCTTTTCCCTTTTTTATGATCTCTTTGGGATACAGATCTAGAAGTGCTATTGCTGGATTAAAGGGTATGCACAGTTTTATAGTCCTTTGGGCATAGTTCCGAATTGCTCTCCAGAATGGTTGGGTCAGTTACTTTAAATTTACATTTTTTTTTTTTTGGATTCTCATCTAATATGGGGGGGAAGAAGGGGGAATCAGTCACTTCCGCCACACCTAATAGGGCTGCCTCTTACAATGGCCCGGCCTCTTCCGGTCTTCTTCCGCCACCCTCTGGGGATGGGAGATGCTTTTCAATTGCTCCTGTCGCGTCCGATGTAGTCCGGCTTGCCCCTACTTTTCGTTGGCCGATGGTCTCCAGGTGGCTGTTCTTATAGGCGGTTCCGCTTTGATGGACAGGCGTGGGGATCAATGATGGAAGAGTATGGGACCCAAGTCGAAGGTTGGAATGGCTAGGCGGCTCCACGCCTGGGTGGGCCCTGGCCTGGGGGCGGTACTCTCAGCGAAGCGGGGCGGAGCCGGAAGTTGGGGCGGGGGATGAGAACGAAACAGGAAGAGGAGCAGGGAAGAAGGAAGAAGGGGGAAGAGGAGGAGGAGAGGGAGGAGGAAGAGGAGGAGGAGGGAAGCTGTGGCGGCGGTGGAGGAGCAGGAGCCGGAGCCGGAGGGTGATGGAGAGGAGAAGGTTCCTGGGCGGCATGGCGCTCCTGCTCCTCCAGGCGCTGCCCACCCCCCTGTCAGCCAGGGCCGAACCCCCTCAGGTAAGGGAAGGGGGTCCAGAGGGGAGGGGGACCACAGGACCAGAGTGGGAGAGCGGAGATGGGCGCCGTGACGAGGGAGGAGAGGGGTCCTGAGCTGGGGCTGGGGGTGCGTGGGAGGGCAGTAGGACGAGAGAAAGGGCGTCCTGAGGGGGTGAGGAGGCTCAAAGAGGGTATTGGGTATGTGTGTCCGGAGGGTGGGCGTCAAGGACCCGAGGAGGTCCTGAAGAAGCTGTGGTTGCAGGGGGCGGGAGCCTTTGAGGAAGCTGGTGCTGGGGGGAGAGAGCAGTGCCATACTGGCGGAAGGTACCCTAAGGGGCACCCCTGGGTTGGGACATTAATGCCAGGCTTTTGGGAAGGGGCTCTGAAAAGGTAGGATTTGAAGAATTCTAAATGGAGCACCAGCCCAAGGGTGGGGGAGGGGTTTCTGGGACTATAGATTTAGAATTGGAAGGAAATTCCTACTTAGAAGTCATCTAAGTCATGCCCCAGTCTATCTCTTCCCTCCTCTCAGTATCCCCATTTAACAGATGACGAACTGAGGCCTAGGGAGATTAAATGACTTGGCCAAGGTCACCACACTGGTAGTAAAGGCAACTGCCAGGATCTGAATCCGGTTCATCTGACTCCAGCACTCTTTATGCTGTTCATAAGAGATCCTACCCAAAGATGCATTGGTGCCAGACCACTGAGTGGTAAAGACCCTGAAGGTTCACTGGTGCTTTATTAAGTGAGAGGAGGTCCCTGGAGGGGATATAAGTCCTGTTCTATACAGGCAGTATAGTATACAGTACATGGTCATGAGTGACTGTGACTGGCATTTGAGCTAGCTTGGAGGTGAAGAATCCCTGGAGGGTAGGCAGGTTGAGCCCTTTAGGTAGCAAGCACCCTGGGTAGCAACTTTGGGTTATGGAAAAGGGATTGCTGCATTTCCATTTTGCATGAGGCTTTCCGGGCAGGGCTGCTGGTGCTGTAGGGTTTTTTGGGGGAGAGGGAAATACTAAAGCTGGTGA